GTAAACGTAAGGCCGTTTGCGTTAAATATTTACTTGTCTGTGGTATAATCTATTACATATTAGATGGTACCGGCTTACATCTGCTTTTTGGACATATAAATAAAGCCTTTTGCCTATTTGTTATAAGTACAAATCTTACCTATTTGTACGACTTTCTGAAATTGTTAAATGTGACAATGTTAATTATGTATTAACAAATCTACGTATATCATTACAAAGCTTATGTATATCATTATGTGTAGGACCAAAAATATGTAATAAATTAACTAATACATAAAAGATGTACTAAATAATTTATTAAAACAAAAATTAAGGAAATTAATAATTGATAAATCTTATTGTGATATATCGAACTTTTTAAAATAATAAAATTTTACTAAAACCACTAATTTTATTGTATATGTACCTGTATTATGACTTCAATATTATTACGACATCATACAATTTGAATTATTTGTCAACAATTGTGTTTAATATTTAACGTAATAATTTTTAAAACATTTAAGTGCTTTGTATGCCATCTAGGCTAAACATGTCAGACAAATTCATTATGTACCTCTTTATGTAGTTACATATGTTTTACTAATAAAGAAATAATCTTGGATCTTAAAATAATCTTAACGTCTCTTATTAAGGTGTTAGATGTTTAGTAGTGAAAAGCTATTAAACATGGATATGGAGTATTAACAACAAATATTATTTAAAGTAGAATATACCTAGTACTTTATCTTTGAGGCTAAAGCTGGAGCAAACCACTAGTTGTGTTTTGCTCCTTGAATACTAAGCTCTTTTCATTTTGTACCACTGCCGAATACAACGGCAGGTTTACTCTCAATGTATTGTTGATCTCTTTCCTAACGTATAATCCTAGTAACTAAACCTATATATGTTTGATGATGCAAATCAAATATATATATCTTCACTTCTAGCCCCTTATAGGGTACACAATAATTGTTTGTATTGTATATGGCTCGATCACGCGACTATTGGCAGATAAAGCAAACATTAAATCTCTCTACGGAATCAGCAGGCGTCGTCATGTATTTAATTTAATGTAATGTAAATTGGACTATATTTTCCATAACAGCCTCTTATCTGGGCCGTTGTACGTGTAGAGCCAAGACTAAAGTAGCCGGCCTAGATCCTCCCAGAAGTGCAAAAGTCTCCTGATGTCTTCACAGGCTTCACGGAGCGACCACGTCGTCGTGTATAAGCGATTCACTACTCTGGTCATGATATATAAAGTTCAGTTCATTCACTATCACTAACGATATGTTTTTTTTGCCACCTCATCGGTAATGGATATAGTAACATAGATAATAAACTAAATAAATTTATGTAAAAGATGATTGCAGGACATTTTTACTACATCGGATTCAGATATACCTAGCGTTCACTACAATGTCAGTTGACAATGCTGCCTCAACTGGAAATTCATTCGGTAACGTAAATTTTTAATATTATCTATAGATGATAAATAACAGGTCGGTCAAGCGAGTTCGAGAGTAAACTACTAGAAAAATATGCAGCAATCACATTAAAAGACATGCAAGAAATTTATCGACAGATAAAACTTTATATACCTACATTACTAAATAATAACGATTTTTCCTGTATTTCGGGTGAAATTCACAAGGACAACCCGCATTATGTATGGTATTTTTATTAGTAGGTAAACAAGACTAGAAAGTCTTGAATATCCAAAAAAACAAGCATTTACTTTCAGTTTACTAAATTACTGCTATTATGATAAGTTTTTTACCAAAGTAGACTCCTAGAATAGTTATCATCATCATCATTAATAGTTGGTTCCCCCAAAGATCTCCACGACGATCGGTCCTGCGCTGCTCGCATCCAATGCCTTCCAGCGATCTTGATCAGGTACTAAATAGTACCTAATTACTATTATATTTAATAACATCTATTACAAATAGGAAAACTTACGGATCTTTGAGGGTAAGCAGGACAGAGTTATTTCTTTTTAAAAAGTGACAAAGTGTTAACGTGATTGTTAATAATTCCATCAAATTAGAACAGAAAAAACTGAAATGACAAAATAAATATAAATTGAATGGCTTATAATTAAAAACAAAAACAGATTAGACACAAACTTTTCTCTTTTATGATTATTTGTCTATATTGGTGCAATAAAGTATATTGGTCCATTAATATATGAATAATTAATATATGTGTAGGAATATTTTTGATTATCTCAGTAGAATCTCTACGTAATATTACGTGCGACTATGTAATAGTGCTAAAAATACATAAATGTACATTAAGCAGAATTGGTGTAGGCTAGGTAAATAAGTATATTAACGGTAAAAGATTATATGAAGAAGTAGAAGCGTAGAAGCGTAAAGAGGAATATCAGTACTAGAGTGTACTAAGCATATAACTTAGATAGTCATAATGCTTTTAATGATTGACTAAACTTTTCAGTCTAACAATCGGCAAGCTGAAATGGAATCTAAATAAATGAGTGATCATTACTTATTCGAGCATGCATGGCAATCGTTTTTCATGCGTGAGAATAGACACCTTTAGAAGTAAACCACGTAAATAAACTGACTTAAAAAAAAGAAATTCAGTTGAGTTTCTTTCTACTTCTTTTCAATATCTGTAACTGACTTAAAAAAAGAATTATAATACAACATTTGACGTACATTAATGGACATGAATAAATGATTTATGATTTTATTTAATTAATTAATGGACATGACTTCTTAGAAGATCAGGAAGCCAGGTAGACTTTGCGAATGTCCTTTAAGTGGGTACTTCTGTCTTAACTATTTCAGCTTCCAAACAGCTTGCTATGTAAGATGTATTTGAAAGAAATAAAGAAATATATATATTCAGTGCTTTTCAACAATGTTACAATATAAAAACCAAACGAAAAAAAAGAATAAATATAATGTATATTAAACTTAATTTAACGTGTAGATAATTAAAATAAACATAAAATAAGCTTTGTTGTATGTTCTAAGTGAACATACCGCTGGTTTTCATTGGCACCAAAAAAATATTATAAAAAAGGGGGTAAAGCTAGTAATTGCACCGCCTTGCTTCCGATGAACGCGGGTTTGATTTTTAGCACGTAATATATAAGTATGATTGTGTGTATGTGTATTTGTGTTGTCTATGTATCTATGTATATATTTATATGAATGTATCTAAGTATTTATATTAGTTGTGTAGTTGAGTAGAAGTTTTAATATGTGTTTATTTAGTGTCCAGTGAGGACCCTCTTCAAGATGCATATGTTGTTTTTACTCGATTAACCACCATTATAGATGTTTTAGTGGGTATAATTGACAAAAAAGCCTCTGGCTCGCGGACTACTTCTACTTTATTCTTCTAGACTCACTTATTTTCTAGTCTCACATCTTGGAAGTAAAAAGGAGTGATCATATGTATATTGTATTCTTACTCATAATAATAATATAATAATAATCTCAGGACAATTCACACAACGCCATCTAGACCTAAGTTAAGCTAGCTAAAGCTTGTGTTATGGGTACTAGATAACTGATACAAATACATAGATATTTTTTTTGTAAATATATACATATTATACATAGAAAACACCCAGACCGATACTCAATCATACTCATGAATACAAATGTTTGTGCCGTGCGAAGAACGAACCCGCGACCATCGGTTGTAAAGCGGTGTGCTAGACCGCTAGACCACCGAGGTCGTCATAAATATGGAATATCAAATATTTTTCACACACTTATGAACTTTTGTATTTATGAAATACATAAATAAGTCAATTAACATTTTCTGAACTACCATTTTATGATACGTCGAACAGATTTAAATGCTGACATAACAGGTCATAAATCATAACCTCCTTCAGTGTTATGAACCATGAATAGTTGTTTACTAAATTAATACACTGAGGAAAATAAAATCTTACTGCTATAAGAAAAAGGCTTAATTTCGTTGTAGACTCTAGAGAAGAGTAACCTCAGAATTTGATTAACTGTCGATTTATTGGGTGATCATCAGATCTGACTACTTTTCTCTAAATATATCTATCGCATCACCTTACATAGATTTTAATATAAGTGCGAATGAGTCAGAAAAAGATAAGCTATGTTTGGACAACAATATGTCACCTAAGCCATTGCTTTCTTTGCCTTGTAAGTAGGTTGATTCGGTTATGTCAAGTGGTGGCGCAGTGAAAGTTATAGCACTATGACAGCAATTAGTTTAGTGTGTCTCACAAAATTTAATAATAGATATATAATTTATGACATTTTTATGTATGGGTTTAGACTAAACATGTTATAAATTATATCACATTATATGTATGAAATTAATAAATAGATGATACATTATTATTTATTACGTACAATAATGTTTGTTTTTCTTGCATGAAATAACTTAATTCGTATTACAAAAATTAAAACTTACATGGCCTAATATGTTTTAAATTTAAATATCATAATTTCAATAAATAGTATTAACTCCATCAGTCGCTCTGTCTTCATTCCATTCAATACTTTAACATTCGATATAAAACCATCTCCTATTTTAGACGTCTTATTCTCTTTGCATTCCTCATCTTCAACAAGTCCATAGAGTTCGAATTATTTCTAATTACTGTTAGAGCCTATTTACATATATGACGTAATTAGATGTTTATTTTTCTGTCTGAGTTGCATTCTTATCAGAAATTTTATTAACGCAATTTTATGCAAAATTTTAAATAATCCAGGAACAGTATGGAACACTATTCTCGGCTTCTTCTTTCCTTTCTTGGCTTTAAGTGAACTTGTGTCCTTTTTTTAAAGTATTTTTTTTCTTTATAAATACCTTTATACACCGTAAAATTTTTCGTGACCCCGATGAACAATGTAAAAAATGTATTTTTTCTGTTTAACAGCTCAATATCAATCCCGATTGATTATGCGTGGTGTGTTGGTGCGATTAGCACATGTTTGGCCGGCCGGCCAGCTGACTTCAGTATCGAACGCGCCGCGACGCCACGCATACGCGTCGCCACTCCACACTACATGCAGCGATGCAACGAAAACCGTTTACCGTCGACAAGTTTGATTTCGTGAGGTCCGTGCGAGACGTTTACGAAGTGTTCCAATTTTGAAATAATTTGTTTTATTCTTAATTTATTTTGGGTATTTAACTTCAGTGCCAGTGTTTTACGGTAGGTTTAATTTTAAATTAATATTTTTCGTGCCATTAAATTTTATGGAAATTAATGCGATCTAGAAACACAGTGGTTATGATTTCGAATGTTTTAACATCCATATGAAATTTATATATTTTGTGCTAAATCTATAAATGATTATTTTAGTATTCGGAAATAGAATAAATAAGGTCTATATTTGCGCCAAGACATACTGCGAACGTTATTATCGATATGTGTATTATAAAAAACCGCGATATAAACCTAACCAAAATACACCACTGTCATAACATTTGAACCATCATTCATCATAACAAAAAATATAAATCCACCATTACTCTATTACCTACAACTGAGATTGCCTTTTCTTCTTTAGCTTGTCTAACTTATCCTGCAAAATTTGGAGGGGAAGAACAGATTCTTTCTTTCATGAATTTCTAATTCCAATCATCTCGATAATTACTACCTCTCTCTCCTTACCAACTTCAATTAAAGAAATAAAATAATTAAAATATTCAGTCCAATTTAGTTTGTATGTAGCACGTATTCACACATATTAAAGGACAGTAAAACACATAATAATAAAATTACTTAAATATTTTGTTTTTATATCTATTTATTTTTATCATTCAATTAATAGTTGCAGTCGATTAAAAACTCGATTCTTGATCCTTTCAAAACAGTCTGTAAATTTAATTTGTTTATAAAATACATACTAGCTGAGCCCGTGGTTTCACCCGCGTGAGATTTATAGCTATATTACTGTAAAGTTTCATCAAAATCTGTTTAGTAGTTTTCGCGTGAAAGAGTAACAAACATCTAACCATACTCACAAACTTTCGCGCTACTATTAATAAAATAAGATGTACATATCTTTTTATGGTATCTATACTCATAAGCGTACCCTTTATAAGTTAAATAAATATAATTTCTCGCCATCAGTTGGGTAAGAGGTAGGTGTGTGAAATGTCAAATTAAACCGGAAATGAACGTGATTACTAAAGCAGTAATGATAGTTTCCTTTCGCAAACCAAACAAATTATATCCACAGTTTTTTTACATATTTCTTACAATACATTTGTCATTAGTAACGCAATTATATACTACCAATAAATGTTATCGTTAGTATATCTATGTAAATTACAAATTTAAAATACATTTTATTTACAAACAATTAGGAGTATATAATACAAATTAATTAATTAAATGAACCTTACATGATCTGCTAATTAATTTTCTAACATTCTGCGTCGTAGGTACCTACATATATATCTATATAAATGCAGTAAAAGACGGGAGTGTATACTCGCTATTGCCATTGGTTAGATGGCTATAGTCGTGTTCTTACTGCTTTTATATATATACAAAGCAGAATATTAGAAAATTAATTCACTCATATAGCAGTATGTATTATAATTGTTCGTCGATTGTTATGCCACCCGGAAATGAAAGTAATTAAAAAAAACAGTTGTAATCACATTTACATCCTTACCTTATTACCTCAGAATCAGACTATTTATTTACCATATAAACAGATGTATATTTACCTCATCGTTTACATAATTTAACAATATTAGTAATTTCAATACTGACAAAAAGTCAGCTACTCGTAAATATGAATTAATTTAGGATTGTTGAGTATTCAATTAGATAGTAATAATGATTGCTGACATTATATTAGTACACACGAAGGCATAACTAATGCTAATACATAATAGCTTTGTATGTAGAATACTTGAAGCGATAACGACACGGGACAAGAAGATACTGCGAATCTCAGTCTCCTAATTTTTTTTTTCGGACTACCCTAATGCTGTTGGCCGCAGCTGGACTTTACAGCTTTACCGGACGTTAGGGGGCGAGTGCAGATGGCACTCCAAACCCGCGGAAGGACTTATGGAGTGGCTGAAGGCCAACTCCTGCCTGACGGATACGACTTTAGTCTGAGGGCACCACTAGGGGTTCGAACCTCGGCTCAGAACGTCGTAATTTCGATCCCCGTTTGAATTGGACGGGGGATCGATCGGAGGGACGCCCGGGGGCGCCGGTGTGGAGCGCGCGTAGGCACCCGGTTGAATGCGCGATATTGTGTGTTTGAGGTCGTCGTCTTCGCCGGCGAGGACGGTGTCGTGAGTGTGTGTAAAAGTGTGGTCGGGGTGGACCTGTCTAATGTCGTGATCACCCGTCTTATATCGCAATTACCTTTCTCGTGTCGTCATCAACTATCACATGTCGCGATTGCTTGTTTCATGTCGCGATCGACTATTTTATGTCGCAGTCAACTTGTCTCGTGTCCCGGTCGCCTGTCGCATGTCGCGGTCACCTGTCTTATGTCGCAATCTCCTTTCTCGTGTCGTCATCAACTGTCTCATGTCGCGATCGACTGTTTCATGTCGCAGTCGACTTGTCTCGTGTCCCGGTTGCGTCTCGTGTCGTCGTCGCCTGTCTAGTGTCGTGGTCACGTATTTTTAATTGTGTTTTCACGTTTACCATTACGGCAACGGTAGGCAATACTATCTGAGTTATTATTTCTTAATTATTATTAATTCATATTCAAGGAACTGGAACTTCTATACCGCTTGCATTAACCCATCGGATATCCTGAACCATAAACATTTAGTAACTATAAGGTTCAGTGGCAAAACTCATAGATTACATTTTATAGACGTTTTGTCGGTTTTTACGTATGATAAGAGATCGCACGGTAATTAAGTTTGTACTGACTCTGCATCCGCATGTTTCCATGATGTTTATACATACGAGTTCTAATATAATATATATTTGTTTAATGTTAAATTTGATATGGTCACGCATACTTAACTCGTATTTATTATGATACTCTTTTTGTGGACGACTTGTTAGAAACAGTTTAAAAGTCGACAAAAAAATGGAGTTGGAACCCGGAATTGTGGAGCGATGGTTGTACGCACTGGCGACTACTGTATGCGTAGTCAAGTCCAGTAGTAATCCACGCGTGTAAAATAAAAATTATAACCTGTTATAAGTTTTATTTCACTTGTAACTTGCCATTTTATCCAAACATAACTTACTTGTATCTAAAGATTTTTTTATGAATAACAACTTAAACTATAAACATTTAAAATGGAACCTATAAAATTCAAAACGGACAAAATATGGATATTCCTATATCCATATTCACATATAGTAAATAGGTAAAATTAATATATAAGTTAATTAAATTTATTGATATATAAGTTATATCAATAAATTTTAAACTTCTTTTAAAATAGGTATAACCGAAATATGTATCATATAACAATATTATGTATAATTATATATCAATAAGAATAGATAAAAGATTAATGTTAAATTGGGACATTTTAAAAAGAATTTAATTTGGCTTTGATGGTATCGTGGTAATTAAAAGAAACCATGCATTCAAGCAAAAGAGTTCAACGCGTTCTACGAGCAGTCAACGAGATTGTCTATTAAGTAATTTGTTTGAAAAACACAATTTTGAAGTTATTTATTGGTAGTTCTCACTATACATCTATTTAACTATGAATTATACTTTTAACTCTACTTAATCCATATATGCTGAACCAATTTAAATTAAAATATAACTGATTGAATATATTAATTTAGTTTGTAAAATAATGTTTACATTCTCATTATTCATTACAATAAATGTTATTTGTTATTTTTTGGTTGTAAATTGTACTAATTCGCTAATGACGGTGGTGGAAATAAAGGGGTACATCGCTTTATGTCCGTTGGTTGCAGGTTCTTTTCTTTGCACGGCATAAACATTTGTATTCAGGAGTCTGATTGTTTGTATTGGTCCGCGTATTTTAAAATGTATTTTATGTATATATTTACAAAAATTGTATCTATCTAAATATTTATATCAATTACCTAGTACTCAAAACACAAGCTCCGCTTAGCTTGATACCTATAAGGCGTTGTTTGAATTACCCGAGGATGTTATTATTATCAATGCGTATAATAAAAGACACATATTATTATTTAGTCGTAAATAAAGTATTATAATAGGAATTTAGTCAACAGACTTCTTACAGAGGAAATGCTAAGAGTTCAAAGGTTAGGTCTATGCCGGATAATGATCTGCGAAAGATCGTGGTTTCTACCTCATTATGTCGTCTAACAACGAGAATTTATTTGATATTGTTACTTACGTCATCCATTCTTAAATAATTCCTTCATTAAAATAGCAGTATCAATACTAATTCAGAAAACTAAAACCATATCCTAAATAAGTCAAACCAAATAATTCTAGATGATGAGAAAAAACATGTAGTATATTGAAATTTTGAATAATATGTCTTTTCGTAGTATGATGTAGACTAAGATCTCTGTCTCGACTCTGACTAAGAAAATCTATACTGAAATTCCATGGCAAGAAAAAAAATAGGACTCGCCAGAAACGGGAAAAAGCTTATACTAATAATAATGTTGGTATTAGAAATATTTCGTCTTCATACAGAAGAAGACACAAAGAGGCCCAATCGGAACCATTATGGTATTGCAACAACTGGCTCGAATTTCTTGTTGTATGCTGGAACACCAACCACGGCATTATACATGTTCCGCCTACACTACGCTACCAAGGAGCAGGGCATTATCGACTACATATGGACCAGGAGTAATCTGTCATTGAGGGTGACGCAGCTGGAGTCTAAACACAGCGAGTTTCAAGACATTTGTGGCCCGGGTCCCTAATAACAAGTTGCTCATCTTTATGATGGAGGATTATTGGCCTAAGAGGCTGTTGTAGTGCTACCGGTGCAGATTGCCATCTCCAGTGACTTATTTATATACTATACTAGACTATATTTATATTATTAGTCCACAAGGTATTTATAATATGGACCATTATTATCCTGAAATAAATAATACTCGACTAAATTGGATAATTTCTATACTTAACGCGGTCACACATAAAAAAATGTAATTGCTCCACGATGTGACTCAGATATGAATATGATGATTACACAAAATAACGGAACATTATTATCTTTTTTTGTGGTCACACATAT